TTCGTCCCAGTAACTCCGGATTGCCTGCTGGGTTTACATTGCCACGAGCTTCTTCTTCTTGTACCCTGTTTTCCCGTGGCGCAATTGCGTCAAATCGTTGATCGATTTCCTGCCGGAATTGGGTGAATCTTTCATCGAACTGTCGCATCATCTCCTGTACGTCAATCTGTTGTCTCGACTTTGCTCGATTGTCGACCCGAGCCTCATAATTCAGCTCGTTGTCCTGCTCTGGTCCTCGCTGTTGACGAGCAGGGTCGCTGGAGACAGGACCTTTCGATCGTGTCCAACGAGTCAATTCAGCACCAGATTCCGTCGTTATTGTCCACAGTGCTTGAACTAGGCTCTTATGCCACTTGATAAACCCCGAGGCATGGTTTATGATCAAAGCTACGCAACCAAGAGGTCTAGAACCTCGGATTGTTGTTTCGAACAAGAACCTTCACAAAACAGAGTTGTTTTGTAGTTTTGGATGGAGAGTTTTCGTGCAACTTTCACAAGGGAAAGAGGCTTGAAACCTTTAGGTCGATGCTTGGCCACGATCAGGGTGACGAACTGATAGATACAAGCTCCCGATTGCTTAGAATCGTCAAAGCAATCTAACTCAATTCCTCACGCAACTAGTGAGATGAATCAAAGCTCAACTTTGTATTCAATTGTTCAAAAACTGACTATTACAAGGAATCAACTCCACTTAAATAGGCCTAGCAATCCCTAACAACGTTTAAAAAAGTTTAATTACAATTCTACTTGGGAAAGGAATCAAAACTCTACGTGGAAACCAATTAATCTAAAACTGTCTACTAATCCTAATCTGACTAGGATTCGGATTTCTTTATCTTCAAGGCAGAATTTTCTATCTCGAAGCGATCTTTAACCCCCTCGTTCGAACCCTCCTAGACATCACCTCGATCAACCAATACCTTGTTGATAAACTAGAAGAAACTAGATTTCATGGGGTGTGAATTTGGGAGCTCGACTCTTTCCCATCTTCCACAACTCGAGCTTCAAAGATGCCTTCCCAACTCTGCCTCCATACTTAGGCAAATCAGGCAGTTTCTCCAGTGTTGAGCTAGCACATTGATCACCTTGAAAACTCAGCTTCTGGGCTTCCCCTTGAGCTCTAAAGTACACCAATCGATAGAGCAACTCCTCTTCTTCATCACAAGCCAAAGAACTTGAATTTCTATCACACCAATTGAGAGTTATGCTTTTCCAAAGTGGGTACCTGAAATCGTCATAAACACTTAGGCAAAAATCAGTGTTTTCTAACGTGGCTAGCTTGCCTTTATGATCGATCAATTCTTGTCGTTTTAATGGCCAAATTGAGATCATATCAACTTTGACCCATTCAAACGACCCCTGAATCTATAGTCTATACTGGGAGACGGTTATCAGAGCATTGAGCATTATTTATTATTCATCTTTTCGTTTCTCCCCCGAGCTTGAGTACCTTGGGTATGTGGACCTTTTCTACGATGCTTGAATTACAAATTCAAAACCCATTTCCAATATAAAATCGACAGATCTGTGTTTTGATCAAGCACCAAAACGATACCTTTTTTTGGTGTTCAAGCAAAAAAAAAAAAAAACAATCAATAAAGCAATTTTTAATAAAGACCTACTATAACACCCTGAACCTTTTTCCGACGAAGATATTGTCCGCTTTGGGCCTCAACACTCACGGTTTCTGCCTTGGGGTGCAATTCAAGGTGACTTCCCATAAGATCACCCATCCTTATTGTACTTCACATTGACCATGTTTAACTTCGTAGTTCTCACAAGAACTCCTCCATTTCACTCCAAAATGCGTCTTGTAAGTTAAGGCCGATTTTTTACTTATGAACCATGGATCTCTCCCGTACTTTGTCGATGTGGGATTTGCTTAAGGTGTTACACCTACTGCACCATCCTATTCTTTGCCTTCTTTATACAGAACATAGAACAACATCGTCTCCCCATTTCTTCTTCTTCTTCTTCTTCTTCTTCTTCTTCTTCTTCTTCTTCTTCTTCCCTGGAGTAGCAACACTTCGTTCCTTTCGTCCTCCGCCACAATCGTCGCTCCTACCTTCTTTGTCACAATCGTCGCCCCTCCAGGCAGGTTATTTCAATTGCTTTCCTCCAAATCCCCTTTTTGATTCTATCTTGGTTAATCAGGTCTCAAATTGTGTTGAACTTGAATTTTTTATTTGGTTTTGGCTCACATGATTTGGCCCATTTTTAACTAAAAATTGATTTAGAGAAATCAACCAATTAAGAGATTTGGTTTGTAAGAGTCCGGAAAATAAATTATCATAATACACCACTACAAAAAAAAAAAAATCAAAATGCCTAAGTTTCGTGCAGTTCGCCCCACAGTATAGCGAACCAAGAAGCAATTCTCTTGACAATGGAGTGATCCACATCCGAAGAGCCTAGATCGCGGTTGAGACAAACGAACAACCCTAAACTCAACATGGTTTGCAGCTGACCCCAGCGAACCACCAAGATCGATGTTCAGCCCCTCGATCTATTCCTATTATAGGTTCAAAACTTCAAACAGTCGTAACTTTGCGCTCAGTTATCCGATTGATAGGGCAAAAGCGTAATGCCAATTCCTATCTTGTAGTAAAACCGGAAATCCGAGTATCGTCTCTCAGGGACTGGTACAACCTTATAATTTATCAATTCTTTGGAGCAAACTATAAGTGAAAAAATGGTTTGGTTGATGAAATTATTAACTAATAGCAAAATAATTAAACTAATTAAGCAAAGTAAACTTGTCGGGAGAAATTCAATGGAAGAAAGCTCTGGGAGAAACACCAGGATTCACTACCTATACTGTCCAGATTAATTCACATATTCCAATCAATTTAATCCAACTCTCTACAGCCAGGATATCACGAATGTGCTAGCTATCCCTGTCGGGAATTACTACGTACTACACAATTAAATCAAATCCTACTGTCGTAGCTCCATGGCTTAATTATTTAGCCTGAAGATCGATATCCTATTTAAGACCATATAGCACCTTATTTAATCCACTGTCGCTTCAATAAGTTACTATGTCACATGAAATATGTTCAGTTATTAGGGTTTCACTGTCGCTAATAACCTAATTAACAACAAATCAATGTATTGGTGGCCAGTCAACACACAGCATTAAGTAATTTCATCCAATAGAGATTGGAAGAAAAGAAATACGAATCAATCCATAAATTCTAGAAATAGCTACATCCTATCGTGTTTACCCCAGAAATTGGGGTTTAGTTCATGATGAAACTGAGATAAATCGATATAGTTTTGATCATCACATTCTAAATCAACAATAAACAACTAATTTGGTTCAGAAAATCCAACCAAATAATCGCTCTCGTTGAACTCAGCTCAAGCCGCCTGGGAAATCTCGATCGCTAATTTCCCTCTTCCTCTCGTCCCAAGCTTCCGCTGCGCCCTCTGCCTTTTCCTTTTCCCCAAAAGAATTTTTCGTTCCCAAATTCTTTGTTCCGTCCCAACAAATAGTCCCCACCAGATAATTTTCAGCCCATTCCCTCCTTCTCGTCCTTTTCCTCCTCCCAGAGACAAAACGATTTGGGCCCAATTCATTCCTCAGCCCAAAATCCTCCAACATCCTCCCACGCTGCCACTTCCGGCCCATTTAGGCCCATTGCTCCTCCTAGCCCAAGTGAGTATTCCAACAATGATTCGAGCCCGATTGATTGCTTGTGCACTCACTTCTTTTTCGTGCTTTCTCCACCTGTAACATATCAAACTCATGACACTAGGCAGTAATGGTTTTTCAATCATTCCCGGGTTAGCGAGCCCTAAAATAGCACCAATTGGCTTACATATATCATGGGATAGTCACATAAAGTTCAATAATCATATATATTAAAGTCGATTATCACCGATCGTAGTGAATTTTTTTTTTTACTATCTTAGTAAAATTTGTAGATCTTGAAAAGTTATGCAAAATAAAATAAAAAAAAATTCTCATTGACATAACACGAGAGAGATTCATAGATCATAAAGAATAATTCTTAATAAGGGCGTTGAGTTCCAAAAGTACGTATAATCTAACACATTATTGAAATTCCACATTGGCATAACACGGGAGAGAATTGTAGGTCATAAAGAACAATCATTCTTAACTCACAAGATACATTTAATTTTTGTGTGAAATGCTTGTAAGAACATTAAAATTAAACATGCTCAACAAGGAGGGTACAAAGATGCACTAAAAACAAAATCGTGTGGTACTAGATAAAAAAATGGACGATTGAATGGTCAAATAAAAGGCTAAATTACACGTTTGGTCACTCAAATTATACAAATCTTTCACGTTTGCTATTCGAATTACTTTTCTTTCTTATTCGTCACTAACTTTACGAATTGTTTCACCGTTAGTCAATGACCGTCACACTCCGTTAAATTTGTACTATATGCCACTCAACTATAAAGTTTGATCGTTAACTAGATGACGTGGAAAAAAATAAGAATTAATTTTTCTATCCCATCATTTCACTTACTTGGTCTATTTGATTTATTATTAAAGTTGGAAGGTAACATACAACACAAATATATAAGGAAGAAAATCAGCAACATGGTCTTTCCTTATTTCCTCTCACCAATTCTGCAAAAAGTATGATTTTATGGAAACCTCATGAAAAAGTGAAATACCAAAAAAGAAAGTAACTTTTTCTTACAATTATTTAGTAAGAAAGTGCAACCTTTTCTTTTTAATTTATTATATTGTGTTATAAAATATCAATTAATTAATTAGTTATCTTTATAATTCTTTCATTCAATCCTCTCTCTTATTAACTCACTTTCTTTCTATGTGTTACTCTTTTGACTTCCTTTCTCTACCTTCATCCCTGCTATTCTTGCATGCTTCTCTACACATTATATATTCATGTCCGTATCTTCCCTATCTTTTTTCACACTGCTATTGAAGACCAAATCCATCACCTTCGTCTTGTTCGTTACCACAACCTCGTAGAAGCCTCTTAAATCTTTTAAACATGGCGATCCAACCTCCTCCAATTTCCCTTTTCCCTTCTCGTTCTCATTCTCTCCTTAACAACAACAGCAGGTACGACAATCCCCCGCTCTGCTTCCATCCTCTGTTCATCCTTTATAGCTCCATCTTGTCCTTATTCTCCTTTTTTTTTTTTTTTTTTTTGCAGGGACTTATTCAAATCCGTTCAAGGAAATGATATCCCCATGTACCAACCAGTCGTCGATTGCGATCCCGTTCCCGCCAAGACCACCTCCGTTACCATTACTAACAACAACTCGGAAATTGGACTCACTTCCAGGCATATCGTGATGAATCCCCCACTCGCCTCTAGGAAGAGTCACTACAGGTGCAGGGACCCTTCCGCTGAGTTAATCGGCTCTTACAAGGGGGTCTCTCATCAGAAGACCAAATTCTCCGGCCTCTCGTCCTCAACGGGCAACAAAGACATCATCAGCTTAGAGACTCAACAAGAGCCATCCCAATTCCGCCGCTTCATCGTTGAACCGGTATGTCAATTTAATTTGGATTAATTTTGCCTCAAAATATCAGGCTTCAATTAAAAAATTATGACAACACCACACTTGCACAAAAAGATATTCTCAAAATACTCAAATTTGGTGTCGAGCAATCTAGGTACTGGTTTGCTAAGGATCGGAGCAAACCGTTTGGTAGATCGCGGTCTACTAATGCGATCGTGCCCCAAAAATCATAATACGTATACTTTAAATGATGTTATTTTTGTGCTCGATTATCCAATCATAGTAAAATTGTTTTTAATTCCGCATAACTTTTAGAGAAAAAAACAAATTGTGCTTCATTATTCGACCAAGCACAAATTTACAATTTGGGGGCTACATCGCTGGTTCGAGGCTATTTCACTTTTGCCGGCGGCAATCCACACTAATTCACTATATAATCCAACGAACTAGTATCTAGAATGTTGGACACTCCAGCGAACTGCGTGAAACTCGTATATTTTGGGACGTTTTATGGTAAGTGTTTGGAAAAATCCTTTTAATTATGTGATTCTTGTTCGTGCTCAAACGAGATTGGATTATGATTATCTGCTTTTATTATTATTATTATTATTATTATTATTATTATTATTATTATTATTATTATTATTATTTGTGATCACCAGACGCTGAGAATGAGGATAGAATTAGAAGAGAGGCAGAGGAGGCAATCTAGAATGATGGTGGAAGCGATACAGGAAGGGATTGTGAAGCGATTGAGGGAGAAAGACGACGAGATTCAGAGGCTGGGGAAGCGGAACTGTGATCTCCAAGAGAAAGTCAGAAGCCTGTGTGTCGAGAATCAAATTTGGAGGAGTGTGGCGCAGACCAATGAGGCAACGGCGAATTTGCTTCGGAGCAATCTGGAACAGGTCCTGGAGCATGTTGGCAAGCACAAGCTGCAGGGGAACAAGGGAGGCGAGACCGTTGCGATATTGGCTGACGCTGAGTCGAGCTGTGGGAGTAACGACCAGGGAGTCGAGGAAGAGTTGAAGCTAAAGGTGGCGGTGAAGGAAAAGGGTTTTGTTGGGGCGAATGATATATAACATGAGTGACAGGAGGTGTTGGGAGATGGAATCAAGTGTGTTGTTGTTGACTTGCTGCCATGTAGTGTGCAGGTCGAGTTATTGAGATTAACTGATTTTTTACATGATATTAGGGTCTTTCGTAATAGTGGGGTTTTCTGTTTGAATCTCGATAATCCTCATATATTAAGTTAAGAACATTGTGTATCTAGATCTGTGCCTGTGTAGCTGTACAAACTCCAGACCTATCTTAGTGGATTGAGTTTGAGGGGGTGCATGCATTAATAAACGGTATATGATACACAATTGAACTCCTCTCAATAACTCGAGTTATTTAGACTAACTGGTTCTTCACATGGTATTAGAACCTTTTGTAATCGAGAGATCATTTGTTCGAATAACCCCATATGTCTCTATTAAGCACGTGTGCGTGTGCAAACTCGACCTCCTCCCAAGATAAAATTCTCTATGACATGGTGCGCCATTCTACCAGCCATGTGTGCTTCCACCCACATGTCCGCCCCCACTAACCTCATATTCCAGCTTGTGGAACTCATTCGTTCAATCGTTTTCCACACTCTCCTCCGCAGCCTCTCTGTATAATATCTCCAACTCCGTACTGCTATGTATCCAAAACAATCTTCATCCCCAAGTCCAAAATGGAGGCCAGAGCAAATCCAACCCTAATCATCATCTCACTCACCACAATGATGACGAAACTCATCTCCGTCGCCGCCTCGTCCGCGAGGCAGGAAACCTGCGCGGGGACCATGAATCATCCTCGACGACAAATGGGTGCATCGAAAATTCACGCACCCTGCTGCCGCTGAAGCTCATCGCCGCCTCCGCCATCTTGGCGGAGAACATCGTCGATGTGTGCCTCCCGCTCGCAACGCGGTCGGTGCCGACTCTGGACCCGGAGAAGAGCCCTTTTGTGATCGTGAAGGCTTTCGCCTCGGGGATCATACTGGACACCAGGCTCATGCACGTGTTGCCGGACTCCTTCCACATGTTGGTATCGCACTGCCTGCCGGAGAATCCCTGGCACAAGTTCCCCTTCACCGGGTTCACCGCCATGCTGTCGACTCTGGTGATGCTGATGGTGGATTCGGTGGCTACGAGCGTTTACACCAGCAGGCTAGACAAGCCACCACCGACTGATGATGTTGTTGCTGCGACTGAGGGAGATCGCGAGGCAGGGAACGATGTCATGGAAGTGGGTGGAGCGGATTTGGAGAGTAACGGTGAAGGTGGCGGCAGCCATTTTCATCACGGGCATGGTTATGGCCTTGGTGGTCAACAACGGATGTGTTACAAAGTTATTGCCTTGGTAAGAAAATGATGTACACTTACATTCATGCAGTACTTTGACTAGTTTTTTCACGGGATTTTATCAACTATTCACGTATAATGGTTTTCATGTACTCTCAATTGAGTCTTTCTAGTTGACACGTGTACAACCAACATTTTTTTCTTAGTTTTATTTAGTGTTTTGATCCGCAAAGGTTTTGTATATTGTCATATCTCTGTTATTTTCTACGAAAAAATCTATGGGGAAAAGAAATTGAGATTTTCTCAGTTAATGGTACAATTTCATTAATGTTTTTGCATGTATTGGAATTGGGAATAGTTCTTCATTCGGCGCTAATAGGATTATCATTAGAAGCGTCGAACAACACGTGCACAATCAAAGGGTTAGTGACGGCCCTTTGTTTCCACCAAATGTTCGAAGGGATGGGCCTTGGTGGTTGCATCCTTCAGGTAACAACATTTTTCCATCGCTTTGTCTTCATATAAAAAAAACTATCTTTCATCGATTTATTTTCGTTTTTATTAGTGATTTAGTTCACATATAAGAGCCTTTTTCATGGATGAGTTCATATAGAAATCAAATTCATAGTCACAATTCACAAGTATCCTATCGTACCTAGTGGCAAATACATGCATGTTTAGGGGTGTCCCGAGACACTCTAAAACTTGGAAACACGATTATTCAATCTTAAATAGTAATTTGTGAATCAGTAAAAAAATGTTTAAGTGGTTGTGGGACACTCTTAAAATTTGGGAAAAGGATTATCTAACCTCCCGTAGTAGTTTGCTTATTGGTATAAATAATATTTAAGTAGTAGTCTATGTGATTTAAACTTGGGAACACTATCACTATCAGTAAACATATTTTCAATTACACTACAACAAATGTATTATTATGTTTTAGATTCAAATATAATAGTAAAATGTTATTCTTATCGCAAATTATTTTCAAAACCTAACGATTAAACCCAATTACGGGATACCATTGTCTAATAGGATCTGCCGAGAGATATTTGTAAAGTTGTATAGACACCGATGTATTTTACCATTTTACGAAATACGTTTGAACTTTTAATAGTTAGATATTTCATATTTAATAATTATTTAATTATAATATTTAATTTAATTTAATTTTTTAAAGAGGAGACCCTATGTAGAGTTGCTGGATCCGTCACTGATCGCACCTGACCTGATTAATGTGAAGATTTCTAGTATTGGCTAGGTATGGCTAAACCCCACAAAAGGTTTAATGGGAATGAGACAAGTTTGATTTTAATTTAGCCTCTCCATATCCAAACCTATAACTGCCCCACAAAGATTATTTCTTTATATACTAAAAATACATGGGGTAGTATTGTAACCTTCCAATGGTAGGAATCGTAATTAAAAAAAATATTTGAACTGTAATTGAACGGCCACCCAAATTCAAACACTAATTTCTTTCCTGCAATTCGCTCTTCATCCTCTCGCTTATTTTCCCTTTGTTAACAAGATTATGTTACCTATTTATTACTTAGAACATGTGTCGGGGTGAGAGATGAATGATTAGGGTAGTATTGTACTTTATCTTATGAATTCATAAATATTTTAGTGTGGGATCTTTGAATTCGTGTAGAGAATGGTTGTATCTTTATTGATTTCATGATTTATTATGTGCATTTAATGTTATAATTGAATATCTACATGTTGAATACTAGGTATAGTAATATTGAATATACATGACAGACATTACCTCGGATATCTGAAAACTGTGTGTATGGGGATAAGGTTGCAAAACATCCCCACATGATTATAGAGGCGGGTATGAGTTTGACTTTTAAAAGTGATAATGAGGATGATTTTGAGGAATCACCTCAAAACCAAACCCGACTCATTGCTATCCAGTATCCATATGTGTGAACAACAAGAAAATATAAAATTAGGGAAGTGTATGAACATATTCCTTGACTAAGTAGAAAGAAAACTGAAGAATACATACATATATTATTATGGTAAAATAACAAGGAAAATAGACAGTGTGACTGATCGATTAATTTATGTTTATGATGAAGGCGGATTACAACTTTGCTAAAAGGATGATAATGGCGTTCTTCTTCGCCACAACAACTCCGTTGGGGATATTGGTCGGGCTTTGATTGTCCAAGACTTACAAAGAAAATAGCCCGACTGCATTGGTCATCAGTGGACTCCTGAATGCTTCGGCAGCTGGGCTTTTGATCTACATGGCTTTGGTGGATCTTCTGGCCGGCGATTTCATGGGCCCAAAGATGCAGGGCAGTATAAGCCTGCAATTGAAATCGTTTATCGTCGTTCTGCTGGGCGCCGGAGGGATGTCTCTCATGGCCAAGTGGGCTTGAACAATCAAATTCTGCTACATCCAATTTCCATTTACGTTAGGGCTTATATTATTGTAACAAAAGGAGTTTTGTTGATTTTCCTTTCGTGAAGTAGTTTTTGTCTTGCCTAGTTTTCTACATTTTTTTATTGTAGTAGTACGCCAAGGTGGGACCCGGCGGCGGTGGATGATGAAGAACCCCATCTGCTTGGGGTATGGGGTTGTTCGCCAAGATCTGATTCATCGGGGGGACCTGGAGATTCCCCTGGTGTGAGCTGTGTTCGCCTTCCATCTCGTACTCTTCCTCAGAATCGTTGCTCAAGTGGCTGTCTATGCACTCCTCCGTAGCCAGTCTAGCTCGCTGTTGTCTCCTGAGTTGGCGACAGGTGTGTTCAAGCTCCGGATCCAACGAAAGTAAACCTCCCAACTGGCTACAGGTCATGCACTACCTGCACACAATCAAGCAAGCAAACCCGTGAAGGCACAAGTGTGACAAAGCAAACAATGCGGAAAAGAAAAGCGAAACTAACAGAATTCACGTTTCTTCAACAACCTAGCCGTCCCCGGTAACGGCGCCAAAAACTTGACTCGTTCGTACCGTCACTCTAGAACATGGCCAAGTGTAACCACTTCCTAAAGCGTAGTATAGCGGGTTTGGGTATTAATGTCAACCCGGGTCCTAGATGTGATGACTACTCCGTGAGTTCTTATTATTTAGCAGCGAAACTTTAATGCAGGTCCAAACAAGCAAACAAGCAAAGCAAGTAAAGAGGTTGTTTCAAGTCGAGAGAGGTCACCCGGATATGGTTCCCCCTAGACTGCAGTTAAACCGGATTGTAATTTACCAAGTTCCATTTCTATGATAGTTATACCGCGGGAGGTTCTTAAGCAGTATAAAGTCTCGACTAAAAGTCTCCAGACCCTCTCAATCTGAGTCCCCAGGGGGCAACTAACCTCCAACGGAGTAAACAGATTGAGGCCCTAACGAACCAAACCACCACTATCGAAGCAAATTCGGTACAAAATAGTGAATTGGCTCCTCGACTAAAGTTACCAATTCACTACCTTCAATTAAGGGTGCTCTATCAACCTAGGCAGATATTCTCTTTCTAGGTTAAAGCAGAAACAACAGGAATTTGATCAGGATTCATGCCATTCAACAAATCAAACCTCAATTGAATATAATCAAATCATAGAATATGTACTTGGGTTCATACAATCAGACCTAACATACAAATCTAGGGTTCTCCATACCCAGATAAATGAGGAAGTTACTCCATGGAGAGAGAAGCAAAAGCAAGCTCAGATGCAAAAATCATGCTGTGAAGGATGGGTTTCTGCTCCTGGTCGTCAATCAACACTTCTCCAAGTGTGGGCCGAGCTCCAATGGTGATGAAGATCAAGCTAGGGCACTTGTGAACTCTGGTTCATCGCTTTCTCTCTCTAGGAATCGCTTTTTTTCTCTAAAACTCGGAACCCCTTCTCCTTTGCTGAAAATTGGGTTAAAACTCAGAAAATCCCGACTCACACGGCCAGGCCACACGGCCGTGTGACATCCCCAGCTGCCCGTGTGAGTGGTGCAAACCGCGGCGTTTTGATAAGTGACTCAGGCTTCCTACACGGCCACGACCCACACGGCCGTGTGGAATTCCAGGATGCCCACGTGAGTTCCCTGGAATTTCCACACGGCCACAGGGGGTCCCCTACACGGCCCGTGTGACTATGCCCGTGCAATTTGGTGCCACACGGCCGTGTAGGTTTTAGGCGTGCACGTGTGGCTCCATCAGCTTCACGCCACATGTCCAATCTTCATCCAATCGATCCCGAACTCGTCCCCAAACCTTCATTCACGTACTAGGACTTGAAATATCACAAACAAGAGAAACCTAGCGTGAAATCGGCCTAAAACACGAGAATCGACATCTCAAACAGCTAAAGAATAAGGGTAAAAAACATGTGCAATTAACGGTCTATCAAACTCCCCCACACTTAATCGTTTGCTTGTCCCCAAGAAAACCTAACTCAAACCAATGCAACTCTCCAGACCTCTATAGCAACAAACAACCCCGATCATCAGTAGAGGATTTTCTAGATCATATAGTAGCTTACGAGGTCAACTGGTTTTCTAAGACGTTCCCTATCTCTCTCAATGCGCATACTAGACTCAAACCAGGATCATGAGAAGAAGTGGAAGTAAGACAATCAGTTCATGGATAAAGGGACTCATACCATTCACAACCAAGGACTCGTTGTACCGAGGTGCTCTTTCACTTCATTTCACCATTGGAACCCCTTTTTCACTTTCACTTTATTTCTTTTTCTCTTTTTTTTTTCATTCACTTAGCGGGGGTTCCAACTGCAGTCTTTTGCACGGTCGACCCTTATTAGTCGAGCAAGAGCAATTTCTGTACATCTGGCGCTCGCCAAAGTACTTCTTTTAATTCCTTTTCCTCAACTCGTGTGGAGGGTCAATGTAATTAAGGGGGGTCGGAAGCTCTATCCGTGCCCTTAAAAACACATCCTCAAGTAGGCAAAACGTTCAACGGGTGGAAGTTTTACTTGTACTAGAGACGACTTAGCTTCACCTTGTAGGAGTACGCCACTAAGGATCACTAAAATCTCTTCCAAAACGCGATTTTGTGCAATGAACGGTGCCGCACACGTTGGGCTTACCCCATGTTTAAGATTTAATGATTTTGACATGGAGGACCAACTGCATTTCATTTTTCACATGAGCACCCTGTTCGATACATGGAGGACCAACCCTAGCTCCACTAATTCACAAAATCAACTGGCACAGTAGAGAGCTAGATAGGAAATATCTTATACTTCAACATCCTCCATAGTGCTACACTACCTCCCTAGGTTGCACATTACTATAGAGACTGTCAATTCAAAGCATACTGAGCAGGCAATTTGCAAGGAAACACGTACTTGGAGCCCTCAAATTAAAAAATTTGGACAGTGGACTAGGCTCCAAGCACACAAACAAATCTAATGCATTCAAAAGAGAAACATCCCCATCGACATTGCCCTCAATGGAGAAGAGGGAAGGATAAGGTGAACGATGTCACTGGTGTGCACGGACTGCATGAGACTGGAAGCGGACCAGTCAGAGTGAAGAGGACTGGAGAAGGGACCAGTCAGGAACAAAGCACAGCTAAAGGGAACAAAAGAACTCAAACACAATCTGTTAGGTCCAATGGTCAGCCCAATAATACATCATCCAAAACAAAAGAAAACAAACCAAAACCAAACCAGTTTGCAATCCGACCCAAAACAAAAGAAATAAACGAAAACCGTGGTGGGGTTGCCTCCCCACAAGCGCTTCTTTACCGTCTTTTAGCTGGACGCCCATGGTGGATACTCAGCGAGGTGCAGGGACAGGTGCCTCCAAGAGCGGATCCACATCGCTCTTGAGGTACAGCTTCAGATTTGGCCATGCACCCGACGGGTGCAACAACCAGCATTGGTCAGCTCGACCTGCCATCCGGCAAGATGCAGGCGAGTGAGTACTCGGATGGCCAGTGTGGTCGTGGTGCAAAAGGTGGGACCAGCTCATAGTGGTCTCCACCTTTCTTCCGAGCAGGCTTAGCCATCTGCTGCTTCGGCCGCCACTCCTCCTTGAGCTTTTTATTTGGAGGTGAGGTTGAAGGGAGTGGCGGCGAAGGCGTGAGAGGGGAGTCCTGCAAAACGAGAGGCACAGAGGGGTACACGACAGGCTCGTGTACCTGGTGAGAAATAGCATGCATAGGTGTGACAGCAGGCATATCACAATGATCAAGGTCAGCCACAGAAAAAGTAGCCTGTTCATTCCCAGCACGCAAGGTCAGTTTACGACTATGCACATCAATAAGTGCCTTGGTGGTGGCAAGAAATGGTCTACCCAGAATAAAAGGCACATCCACATCCTCATTTATATCCAGAATAAAAAAATCAACAGGATATGTGAATGCGCCTACTTTAACAAGCAGATCTTTTATGATACCCCTAGGATGCACAATAAAGCGATCAGCTAACTAAATGCTCATCCTAGCAGGGCTAAGTTCACATAGGTCTAGCTTTTTAAACAAGTTGTATGGCATGACATTTATGCTAGCGCCTAGGTCTTCCAAGGACTTCCCTACATGCATGCTGCCAATAGTAAGAGGGTGATGACTCGGTATTTGCACATGTTTTCCCCTTTGTTTCTTGATTGTTTGAGCTTGAATTATTGCGTCTTTGGCCTATTTTATGCTAGGTTGTGTTCCTTTGTCCCATTTCAGGTCCTAGCACATAAAGTGAAGCATAGGCGCAAGTTTCAAGTCAATCAGAGATCAATTGACGATTCGAGAGAAGAAACTCGGGCATGACCTGAAGAAAAATGGATTTCTACCTCACTTTATGGACAAAGAATCATGCAAGCTTGTTATGAAACGAAAGAGGACGAGACTACGAGCGTCTGGGATCAAATGGCGATTGATTCGGAGTCCGGACGAGGGAGAAACGAAGCATTAAACAGAGGCTGAGCAAGCTGCACGGGCAGACCAGCGTGGCCACGCACGGCCGTGCAAGTGACCAGTTTGGCCGTGCGGGATTGTGCGTGGGCACGCACGGGATTGTGAGTGGCCACGCACGGCCGTGCAACATACAATTCTGGCCGTGCGAGTTGGCTGAGGTTCAACTAATTGATACGCCGCGTTTTGAGGTGCACGGCCAGAATGGTGATGTGCACGGCCGTGCATCCTGCCCGTGCGAGTCGGGATTTTCTGCTTTTAAGCAGATTTTCAGCCACAAGTCGAGGGGATTCGAGTTTTTGAGAGAGAGATCAGTTCCTAGAGAGAGAAAGTGACGAGCAAGAGTTCCCAAGTGCCCTAGATTGATCTTCAACACCATTGGAGGCCAGCTTGAGCTTGGAGGAGTGCCAATCAACGTCCAGAAGCAGGAATCCATCCTTTGCAGTATGAATTCCGTGTCTGATTCTGCTTTTGCTTTCTTCTCCATGGAGTAGTTCTCCCATTCATCTGGGTATGGAGAACCCTAGATTTGTATGTTAGGCTTTGATTGTATGAACCCAAGTACTGATTCTGTGATTGATTATATTCGATTGATGTTTTGATGATTGAATGACTTGAATCCTGATCAAATTCCTGTTGTTTCTGCTTTAACCTAGAATGAGAATATCTGCCTAGGTTAATAGAGTATCCTTGATTGAAGGTAGGGAGTTGGTGACTTTAGTCGAGGAGCCAACTCACTATTCTGTACCGGATTTACTCCGGTAGTGGAGGTTTTGTTCTTAGGGCCTCAATCTGTCGACTCCGGTGGAGGTTAGTCGCCCGCTAGAGAGTCAGATTGAGAGGGTCTGAAGACCTTTAGTCGAGACTTCAGGCTGTTTAAGAACCTTCCGCAGTATAACTGTCATAGAAACTGAACTTGGTAATTACAATCCGGCTTAACTGCAGTCTAGGGGGAACCATATCCGGGTGACCTCTTTAACCTGAATACAACAGTTTACTTGCTTTGTTTGTTTGGTAGTTTAGACTTGCACTCTAGTTTTATTGCTAGATAACAAGAAATCACTGAGTAGTCAGCAAATCTAGGACCCGGGTTGATAATTAAACCTAAACCCGCTATACTACGCTTTAGGAAGTGGTTACACTTGGCCAATTCCTGGAGTGACAGTAGAGTCGAGTCAAGTTTTTGGCGCCGTTGCCGGGGACGGCTAGGTTGTTGAAGAAAAGTGATTTCTGTTAATTTAGCTTTTCTTTTTGCTTTGTTTTCTTTGTCCCACTTGTGCCTTCACGGGTTTGTTGCTTGAGTGTGTGCAGGTAGTGCATGACCCGTAGCCAGTCGGGAGGTTTACTGCCGTTGAATCCAGAGATTGACCGCACCTGTCGCCAGCTCAGGAGACAACAGCGAGCTAGACTGGCTACGGAAGAGCGCATAGACGGCCACCTGAGCAGCGATTCTGAAGAAGAGCACGGAATGGACGGAGACTACAATCAGCACCAGGGGAATCCCCCGGTGAATCAGGTCCTGGGGAACAACCCCATACCCCAGGATCATGGAGCTCATCATCCACCGCAGCCGGGTCCCACCCTGGAGTACTACTACACTCCGCGGATTGCTGACATCCGCCCGGTCATCCTCTACCCGCCGATCCCAGCAAACAACTTCGAGATCAAGCCATGCTGGATTCAGCTCATCACATCCTCGATCCAGTTTCATGGCTTGAAGGATGAGGAGGCCAGGGTGCATCTTTCCCGTTTTCTGCAGCTGACAAACGGGTTCAAGCTGAACGGTGTTCCCGATGATGCGATCCGCCTTCATCTCTTCCCCCATTCTCTGGCGGGAAATGCTAAGAGGTGGTTGGAGACCCAGCCCCCATTGTCCATCACCTCTTGGGACGATCTGGCTGACAAGTTCGTGCACAGGTACTATCCGGCATCGAAGACTACAGAGATTCAGCGGGAGATCACTCATTTCCGCCAGGAGCCAGATGAGTCACTCCGTGATGCTTGGGAGCGGTACATGGGCTACTTCTGGCAGTGCCCCCACCATGGCTTTAGTGATGCTTTCACTGTGGGGAACTTCTACAGCGCTCTCTCCCCAGATAGCCAGAGGGTGATTGAGTCTTTATGCCCAGGAGGGGATATTCTTACCAAGACTCCACCCGAGCTGAACCAGATGATCAGTACTTTGGCTGCCAGAGATCATTCTTGGGGACAGGGTAGCCGAGGCAGACAGTCCCGGGACCGTGGTGTGCACGCCATGGAGACCAGATCCGGGCTCGAGCAGCAGGTAGCTGAGCTAGTGCAGACATTGAAGCAGCCTAACAGTCTGATTTCGGGCAGAGGTTTGGCTACACCTCCAGTTGCTCAGTGTCAGTGGTGTGAGAGCTCCAATCACCTAGTGGAGGACTGCCAGGCTATGAGGGAGTCTACCACACCCCAGGAGCAGTTGGCCTTCATCGCCAATGCGAGGCGCCTCGATCCATACAGTAGCACATATAATGAGGGGTGGCGCCAGCATCCCAACTTTGCCTGGAGCAGCAACACCACTAAACCACCTGGTTTCCCAGCACCAGCAGGTGGTTTTCAGCAGAGGCAGCCCTTCCAAGCTCGCCAGGGGCCAGACCCACAGCAGCAGCCCTACCAGCCTAGGCAGGGCCAGCCATTCCAGCAGCCCCAGCGCCAGTTTGCCGAGCCAGCAGCAGCTCCGGCCCCAGATGATAGGATGACGAAGCTGGAAAACATTCTAGCTTCATTCATGACTAGCACCCAGGTTGCTATCACATCACTGGAGGCAGGTCAGCGGAACCAGGGTGCCATTTTGCAGGATCTGCAGACCCAGGTGGGTATCTTGGCCCGCCAGAGCACCACCAGGGCACCGGGGACTCTGCCTGCCACCACTGTTCCTAATCCTCGAGATCCTCACCAGCATCAGCAGCTGGATGCCATTTTTACCAGGAGCGGTAAGGTGATATCTGCTGATCCTGCCCCGGCCAGACAGGAGGAACCACTACCTGCTTCAGCACTTCCAGCCGACGATGCAGAAGTGCGGGTGGAGAAGGAAGCCCCTGCTCCCAAGCCACAACCAGTGGTTAAGGAGCATGTACCCCAGCTTCCCTTCCCCACTCGCCTACACAAGGACAAGCTGGAGACTGAGTTTGCCAAGTTCATGGCAATGTTGAAGCAGCTCAACATCAGCATACCGTTCATGGAGGCACTGTCGAAGATGCCCAAGTATGCCAAGTTCATGAAAGATATCTGCACCAACAAGAAGAAACTTGGGGATCTCTCGACAGTGATGCTCAGTGAGGAGTGTTCTGCTATCCTGCAGAACAAGCTGCCCGAGAAGCGCAAGGATCCAGGGAGTTTTACTATCCCTCTTACTATTGGCAGTATGCATGTAGGAAAGTCCTTGGCGGACCTAGGCGCTAGCATTAACGTCATGCCATATAAGTTGTATAAAATGCTAGACCTAGGTGAACTTAGCCCTACTAGGATGAGCATTCAATTAGCTGATCGTTCTATCGTGCATCCTAAGGGTATCATTGAGGATCTGCTTGTTAAAGTAGGTACATTCACATATCCTGTTGATTTTATTATTCTTGATGTGCATGAGGATGTGGATGTGCCTTTGATTCTAGGTAGGCCATTTCTTGCCACCGCCAAGGCACTAATTGATGTGCATGATGATAAGTTGATCTTGCGTGCTGGGAATGAACAGGCTACTTTTTCTGTGACTGAGTTTGATCACTGTGCTATGATTGATGTCACGCCTGTGCATGCTATGTCTGATCAGGTACACGAGCCTGTCGTGTATCCTTCTGCACCTCCTATTTTGCAGGACCCTCCTATTATTCCTCCGCCGCCACTCCATCCAGCCTCACCTCCGAACAAAAAGCTCAAGGAGGAGTGGCGGCCGAAGCAGCAGGTTGCTAAGCCTGCACGGAAGAAGAGTGGAGACCACTATGAGCTGGTCCCACCTCCTGCACCACGACCACCCTGGCCGTCCGGGTACTCGCTCACCTGCATCTTGCCAGATGGGCAGGTCGAGCTGACTGATGATGGTGGTCGCATCCGTCGGGTGCATGGCCACAACCTGAAGCTGTACCTCAAGAGCGACGTGGATCCGCTCTTGGAGGCACCTGTTCCTGCACCGCCCTGAGTATCCACCATGGGCGTCCAGCTAATACGACGGTAAAGAAGCGCTTGTGGGGAGGCAACCCCACCACGGTTTGATTTTCTTTCTTGTGTTTTGAGTCGGATTGTAACCCGGTTTGGGGTTTGGTTTGTTTTTCTTTTGGTTTGGATGATATTTTATTGGGCTGACCATTGAACCTAACATACTGTGTTTGAGCTCTTCTGTTCCCCTTTGGCTGTGCTTGCCCCGACTGGCCCGTTTCCAGTCCCCTGCAGTCCGTGCCTACCGGTAACATCGTTCCCCTTATCCTTCCCTCTTCTCCATTGAGGGCAATGTCGAGCTTAAGTGTGGGGGGATGTTTATCTTTCGACTGCATTAGATCTGTTTGTGTGCTTGGAGCCTAGTCCACTGTCCAAATTTTTAAAATTTGAGGGCTCCAAGTACGTGTTTCCTTGCAATTGCCTGCTCAGTATGCTTTGAATTGACAGTCTTTATAGTGATATGCAACCTAGGGAGGTAGTGTAGCACTATGGAGGATGTTGATGCATTTAAGGAGTCTCATTTCTTCTTCATATTGTGTTGGTTGATTGAGTGAATTAGTGATCTTAGGACCCCTGAATTGTGTGGTGTTGTGGATTTCTACCTGTCATGGACTCTTGTGTCATGTTTTGAAAATAACAGGTGCTCGATAATGTGCTTCAAAATAAACGTCTCCCGTGCGAATAGGGCGAAAGTGTGTAAGGGGAGACGGGAATCCGTTCCCAATTTCCACCTACTACCTCCAGCCCCCTTACATGTCTTTCCCCCGCACGAGGCTCGAGACATTCGCTCCTGGCATGGCCGGTAAGAGCAGGTTGGGACCCTTGAAAAGAAAAAAAGAAAAGAAAAATAACAGAAAACAAGCAAAACAGAAAAAAGGGGTTCCAACCATCTTCAAAGAAAATCGAGCACTTTGAAAAATGTGAGTCCATGATCTTTTGTTTTTGAGAATCTCTTCATCCACAATTCATTTGTCCTCTGTTCACTGTTTGCCATGATGCCGACTGACCGAAGAAGCTATGAGATGACTTGTGCGTCGGTTGACCTCGTAAGCTGCTAAATGATCTAGGAAGTCCTCTACCTACGATCTAGGTTGTTTGTTGCTATAGAGGTCTGGAGAGTTGCATTGGTTTGAGTTAGGTTTGCTTGGGGACAAGCAAACGGTTAAGTGTGGGGGGATTTGATGACTCGGTATTTGCACATGTTTTCCCCTTTGTTTCTTGATTGTTTGAGCTTGAATTATTGCGTCTTTGGCCTATTTTATGCTAGGTTGTGTTCCTTTGTCCCATTTCAGGTCCTAGCACATAAAGTGAAGCATAGGCGCAAGTTTCAAGTCAATCAGAGATCAATTGACGATTCGAGAGAAGAAACTCGGGCATGACCTGAAGAAAAATGGATTTCTACCTCACTTTATGGACAAAGAATCATGCAAGCTTGTTATGAAACGAAAGAGGACGAGACTACGAGCGTCTGGGATCAAACGGCGATTGATTCGGAGTCCGGACGAGGGAGAAACGAAGCATTAAACAGAGGCTGAGCAAGCTGCACGGGCAGACCAGCGTGGCCACGCACGGCCGTGCAAGTGACCAGTTTGGCCGTGCGGGATTGTGCGTGGGCACGCACGGGATTGTGCGTGGCCACGCACGGCCGTGCAACATACAATTCTGGCCGTGCGAGTTGGCTGAGGTTCAACTAATTGATACGCCGCGTTTTGAGGTGCACGGCCAGAATGGTGATGTGCACGGCCGTGCATCCTGCCCGTGCGAGTCGGGATTTTCTGCTTTTAAGCAGATTTTCAGCCACAAGTCGAGGGGATTCGAGTTTTTGAGAGAGAGATCAGTTCCTAGAGAGAGAAAGTGACGAGCAAGAGTTCCCAAGTGCCCTAGATTGATCTTCAACACCATTGGAGGCCAGCTTGAGCTTGGAGGAGTGCCAATCAACGTCCAGAAGCAGGAATCCATCCTTTGCAGTATGAATTCCGTGTCTGATTCTGCTTTTGCTTTCTTCTCCATGGAGTAGTTCTCCCATTCATCTGGGTATGGAGAACCCTAGATTTGTATGTTAGGCTTTGATTGTATGAACCCAAGTACTGATTCTGTGATTGATTATATTCGATTGATGTTTTGATGATTGAATGACTTGAATCCTGATCAAATTCCTGTTGTTTCTGCTTTAACCTAGAATGAGAATATCTGCCTAGGTTAATAGAGTATCCTTGATTGAAGATAGGGAGTTGGTGACTTTAGTCGAGGAGCCAACTCACTATTCTGTACCGGATTTACTCCGGTAGTGGAGGTTTTGTTCTTAGGGCCTCAATCTGTCGACTCCGGTGGAGGTTAGTCGCCCGCTAGAGAGTCAGATTGAGAGGGTCTGAAGACCTTTAGTCGAGACTTCAGGCTGTTTAAGAACCTTCCGCAGTATAACTGTCATAGAAACTGAACTTGGTAATTACAATCCGGCTTAACTGCAGTCTAGGGGGAACCATATCCGGGTGACCTCTTTAACCTGAATACAACAGTTTACTTGCTTTGTTTGTTTGGTAGTTTAGACTTGCACTCTAGTTTTATTGCTAGATAACAAGAAATCACTGAGTAGTCAGCAAATCTAGGACCCGGGTTGATAATTAAACCTAAACCCGCTATACTACGCTTTAGGAAGTGGTTACACTTGGCCAATTCCTGGAGTGACAGTAGAGTCGAGTCAGAGGGATAGTAAAACTCCCTGGGTCCTTGCGCTTTTCGGGCAGCTTGTTCTGCAGGATGGCAGAACACTCCTCACTCAGCATCACTGTCGAAAGATCCCCAAGTTTCTTCTGGTTGCTGAGGAGATCCTTCATGAACTTGGCGTACTTGGGCATCTTCGACAGTGCCTTCATGAAAGGTATGCTGACGTTGAGCTGCTTCAACATTGTCATGAATTTGGCAAACTCAGTCTCCAGCTTATCTCTGTGTAGTCAAGTGGGGAAGGGAAGCTGGGGTACATGCTCTTTAACCACTGGTTGTGGCTTGGGAGCAGGGGCTTCCTTCTCCACTCTCCCTTCTGCATCATCGGTTGGAAGTGCTAAAGCAAACAGTGGCTCTTCCTCCCCAGGTTGGGCAGGTACTGCCGAAGTGGTCTTCCCACTCCTGTTGGTGATGGCATTCCGCTGCTGGTTTGGCTCCCGTGGATTGGGGATGGTAGTGGCAGGTAGAGTTCCCGGGGCCCGGGTATTAATTTGGCGAGCTATGCCACCCACCTGGTTCTGTAAATCTTGCAAAATGGCACCTTGGTTCCTCAGGCCTGCCTCCAGTGAGGCTATGTTCTGGTCCATCCTCGTTAAATTCGCCTGTCTGGTAGTCATGAATGCCACTAGAATGTTTTTCAGATCCGTCATCTCATTATCTGGAGCCGGAGCTGCTGCTGGCTCAGCATACTGACGCTGAGGCTGCTGCTGAGGAACTGGCCCCTGTCTAGCCTGGAAAAGCTGCCTCTGCTGAAAACCATCTGCTGGTGCTGGAAAACCAGGTGGCTTAGTGGTGTTTCTATTCCAAGCGAAGTTGGGATGCTGGCGCCACCCCTCATTGTATGTATTGCTGTATGGGTCAAAGCGTCGAGCATTGGCGATGAAGTCCAACTGCTTTTGGGGGGTAGAAGATTCCCGCATAGCCTGGCAGTCTTCCACTATATGATTTGAGCTCTCACACCACTGACATTGAGCTATTGGAGGTGTAGCCAAACCTCTGCCCGGAATAAGATTGTTGGGCAACTTCAATGTCTGCACTAACTCGGCCACCTGCTGCTCGAGCCCGGACTTGGCCTTCATGGCGTGCACACCACGGTCCCGGGAATATCTGCCTCTGGTGCTCTGCCCCCAGGAGTGATCTCTGGTAGCCAAGGTACTGATCATCTGGTTCAGTTTGGGTGGAGTCTTAGTAAGAATATCCCCTCCTGGGCATAGACACTCAATCACCTTCTGGCTGTCCGGAGAGAAAGCACTGTAGAAGTTCCCCACGGTGAATGCATCACTGAAAATCCCATGTACCGCTCCCATGCATCACAAAGTGACTCGTCTGGCTCTTGGCGGAAGTGAGTGATCTCCCGCTAGATCTCTGTGGTCTTCGATGCTGGATAGTACCTATGCACGAACTTGTCGGCCAGATCGACCCAAGAAGTGATGGACAATGGGGGCTGGGTCTCCAACCACCTCTTAGCATTCCCCGCCAGAGAATGGGGGAAGAGGTGATGGCGGATTGCGTCATCAGGGACACCGTTTAGCTTGAACCCGTTCGTCAGCTGCAGAAAACGGGAAAGATGCACCCTTGCCTCCTCATCCTTCAAGCCATGAAACTGGATAGATGATGTAATGAGTTGAATCCAGCATGGCTTGATCTCGAAGTTGTTCGCTGGAATGGGCGGGTAGAGGATGACAGGGCGGATATCAGCAACCCGTGGAGTGTAGTAGTACGCCAAGGTGGGACCCGGTGGCGGTGGATGATGATGAACCCCATCTGCCCGGGGTATGGGGTTGTTCGCCAAGATCTGATTCACCGGGGGGACCTGGAGAGGATTCCCCTGGTGTGAGTTTTGTTCACCTTCCATCTCATACTCTTCCTCAGAATCTCTGCTCAAGTGGTCGTCTAAGCGCTCCTCCGTAGCCACTCTAGCTCGCTGTTGTCTCCTGAGTTGGCGACAGGTGCGTTCAAGCTCCGGATCCAATGGCAGTAAACCTCCCGACTGGCTACGGGTCATGCACTACCTGCACACAATCAAGCAAGCAAACCAGTGAAGGCACAAGTGTGACAAAGCAAACAATGTGGAAAAGAAAAGCTAAACTAACAGTTTTCACGTTTCTTCAACAACCTAGCCGTCCCCGGCAACGGCGCCAAAAACTTGACTCGCTCCTACCGTCACTCTAGAAAATGGCCAAGTGTAACCACTTCCTAAAGCGTAGAATAGCGGGTTTGGGTTTTAATGTCAACCCGGGTCCTAGATTTGATGACTACTCCATGAGTTCTTATTATTTAGCAGTGAAACTTTAATGCAGGTCCAAACAGGCAAACAAGCAAAGCAAGTAAAAAGGTTGTTTCAATTTGAGAGAGGTCACCCGGATATGGTTCCCCCTAGACTACAGTTAAACCGGATTGTAATTTACCAAGTTCAATTTCAATGATAGTTATACTGCGGGAGGTTCTTCAGCAGTCTGAAGTCTCGACTAAAGGTCTCCAGACCCTCTCAATCTGAGTCCCCAGCAGGCGACTAACCTCCACCGGAGTAAACAGATTGAGGCCCTAACGAACCAAACCTCCACTACCGAAGCAAATTCGGTACAGAATAGTGAATTGGCTCCTCGACTAAAGTCGCCAATTCACTACCTTCAATTAAGGGTGCTCTATCAACCTAGGCAGATATTCTCTTTCTAGGTTAAAGTAGAAACAACAGGAATTTGATCAGGATTCATGCCATTCAACAAATCAAACCTCAATTGAATATAATCAAATCATAGAATCTTACTTGGGTTCATACAATCAGACCTAACATACAAATCTAGGGTTCTCTATACCCAGATGAATGAGAAAGTTACTCCATGGAGAGAGAAGCAAAAGCAAGCTCAGATGCAGAAATCATGCTGTGAAGGATTGGTTTCTGCTCCTGGTCGTCAATCGATACTTCTCCAAGTGTGAGTCGAGCTCCAATGGTGATGAAG